ATGAACATATCAGGACTCAAGTGAGTAGTCCCCAGACTTGAAACTTTAGAACAAGTATCAATAGCAAGAGTAACACTACGTGTGAAAGTAGAAGACTGATAAGTAGAAAAAACATCAAACACACCAGTCATGGGGTCAAAAGCGCCAGCGTCTATGATTCAGGGAGCACGAGTGGAGCACAATAAACAAGTGGATGCAGTACCTAGTTGGGCAAAAGTAGCAGTGGAGAGAGATGGAACAACATGTTGCTAGACAGGAATTTAACATACTTCTTTCGTGTAATAGTAACCGACCCAATGTTTGGTGGAGTTGACCGAGGTATGGAAGCAACAACAGAGGTGTCATCCCGATAGGAAGCTTGATTTGCAGCACCAGAAGGTTTTTTATGTAAATTCCAATAGAAATCAACAGTGTTCCCTCCACGACCACAGTGAGTACGGGAACGAGGTCCACTACGACCCCCATGACCACCCGTACAACCACCACAACCTCCTCGATGACCATCACTACGGCTACTAGGAACCACAAGAGCTGAGTGATCAGTGGAGACACCATAATCAATGACTGCAGTAGATAAAGTAACACACTGTACAGGAGAGGAAACCTCTTGTGGCATTACTAATAAAAAAACATCAGAACTAGACAATCCAAGTGCATTCCCAACATTCAGACAGCTAACTTAGAAATTCTTTCCAAAACATAGAAACTTAGCTTCCTAGTACTCATTAATAGAAGCCTTTAAAACTAAGTTTCTTAGTGTCTATTAATAGAAGACTTACCCATTTTGTAGCTGTTGCTGCATTTTTCTCTGGTGGCTTCGGAAACTTGTCCTCTTTACGAGCTGTTGGCTCTATCATTTCTTTGACCTCCACCGCTACAACTGCATTCTTCTTAATCTGAAAAAAAAAAAAAAAAATTAGTTAGCATGAGTACACTGTAGAAGTTGCTAAGCAAGGTTGATGACTATGTTTGCGTGATGGTTCTGTTTAATTTCGAAATGGTAAATTATACATTAAATCTTCATGGTTTCATTCAATAACACTGAACCTCCTTGTGCTTCAAAAACTCATACATGACCCTATGATTGGGAACCAATGTTGAAGTTCAACAATTTAGTACAAAAAAAGATAGTAATACCGTTCATCAAACGTGAAGAAAAAAATGGAATAGATTCCTCAAATGTGACATTGGTACTGGTAAAGTATCATCACAGAGAAGAACTGTAGCAATGATACCTCTTCTGCATGTGGGAGTAACCAAGAAATATATATTTGGTAGCTTGAGGGTCAAGTTTATCAAATACAAGACCCAAATTGTGAACATAACAGACACATCCAAAAATCTTAGAAGTGAGGAAAAATAAGGATTTAATAGAAAAAAAAACAGAATATGGACTTTGCCCATTTAACACAGAGGATGTCATACAATTAATAAGGTGACAAGTAGTAAGAACAACATCACTCAAAAAATATCAGAAAATATTCATTTGGAATAACCAGGCACGGGTGACTTCCAACAAATGAAGGTTCTTGCGTTCAGCAACACCATTCCATGGAGAGGTATAAGCACAAGAAGTCTGATGAATAATGTTCGTTTTACTAAGATAAACTAAAAAAAGATCATATTCATATTCCCGAGCATTATCGGAACGTAGAGTACGTTTATGACAACCATACTGAATTTTTATTTCCTTACGAAAGGTTTCAAATATAGAGAATAATTTAGAACGAGCTTTCACAAAAAATAACCAAGTCACACAAGAATAGTCATCCACCAATGACACAAAATAAGAATATTTATTACATGAAATATTCTTTATTGGACCTCATACATCAGAATGTACTAACTTAAATGGACTACACACACGATTATTGACTCTAGACTGAACTGACATACGATGATGTTTACTAAGTTGACAAGCTTCACAAGATAAAGATGACACATAACTAAGACTGGGAACTTGGCGCTTCAGATTCTGAAAAGAGGGATGTCCAAGACGACAATGCCATTGAAAATGAGACAATGAGGTCTGTAAAGCCCGGGTAGGTGAATCAAAATCAAAGTAATATAGGCCACCAACTTCATACCCTGTACTAATGTTCCTCTTCGTCTTAATATCCTGAAAGACACAATAAGAGGGATAAAATGTTACAGAACAATTGAGAGAATGAGTAATCTTGCTAATAGAAAGTAAACTAAAAAAAAATTGAGGAACAAATAACACAGAAGAGAGGGACATATCAGGACTCAAGTGAGTAGTCCCCAGACTTGAAACTTTAGAACAAGTATCATTAGCAAGAGTAACACTACGTGTGAAAGTAGTAAACTGATAAGTAGAAAAAACATCAGACGCACCAGTCATGTGGTTAGAAGCGCCAGAGTCTATGATCCTGGGACTGTGAGTGGAAGACAATAAACAAATGAAAACAATACCTGGATGAGCAAAAGTAGTAGTGGAGAGAAATGGAACCGCCTATTGCTGGGACAAGAACTGAGCATAATTCTCTCGTGTAATAGCAACCGACCCAGTGCTAGGTAGAGCTGACTGAGGAATGGAAGCAACAACAAAGGTGTGATCCTGATAGAAAGCTTGATTCACAGCATCAGAAGGTTTTTCCAGTAAATCCCAACAAAAATCAATAGTGTGCCCTCCACGACCACAGTATCTACAGGAAAGAGGTCTACTACGGTCCCAACGACCACCCATATGACCTCCCGTATGACCACCACGACCACCACAACCTTCTCGATGACAATCACTATGTCTACTAGGAACCACAAGAGCTGAGCGATTAGTTGAGATACCATGGTCATTGCCTGCAGTAGACAGAGTAGCATGCTGTACACGAGAGAAAACCTTGTGTGGCATTACTAATCAAAAAACATCAAAACGGGGCAATCCAAGTGCATTCCCCATATTCAGACAACTGACTTAGAAATTTTTTCCAAAACATAGAAACTTAGCTTCCTAGTGTACATTAATAGAAGCCTTTAAAACTAAGTTTACTACTGCCTATTGATAAAAGACTTACCAATTTTGCAGCTACTGTTGCATTTTTCTCTGGTGGCTCCAGAAGCTTGTCCTCTTTACGAGCTGTTGGCTCTGTCATTTCTTTGACCTCCACTACTGCAACTGCTTTCTTCTTAGTCTGAAAAAGAATTTTAGTTAGCATGAGTAAACTATAGAAGTTACTAAGCAAGGTTGATGACTATGTTTGCTCGATGGTTCTACTTAATTTATAAATGGTAAATTATATATTAGGTCTCCATGGTTTCATTCAATAACACTGAACCTCCTTGTGCTTCAAAAACCCATACATGACCCTATGCTTGGGAACCGATGTTGAAGTTCAACAATTTAGTACAAAAAAAGATAGTAATATTGATCACCGGGTTTTTAATTTTTTAATTGTTTTTCTTTGTGAAATTTTTATACAAATTTAAAAATATGTTTTATGCATCAAAAGGAAGAGAAGATAAAATGATTGGTTTATTTTAGAGAAAAATAAGAAACATAAAATGTATAATGCGATAAAAGTTATTTTAACACCTAATTTCGCTAAAAATGTTGATTTTAAACTTTAACCATTAACTTACGGTTCGAGTTTTGTCAAAAACCATAAGGGTTACGTTTATAATATTTCTAATATGGGGAGGTAACGTTTTACTGGTTCAAACCACTGGCAGGTAATCTAAAGTTTCCCTATTTAGAAACAATATAAGAAACAAAACTGCTACCCAGAAGTCGATGTGCAAAATGATGTATGACAGCTAAACCACAAAAAACCTTTTCATGTTTTGTCAAGAGAGAAAAATTGATATAGTAATAAATGAATCTAAAAAAGGCAAGAATGATGACGAATGTGAAGAGAATTTGATATATTAAAACCCAATTTCACTGCATATCTGCACTATTGTTCGTGTGGCATTACTAATCAAAAAACATCAGAACTGGGCAATCCAAGTGCATTCCCCACATTCAGACAACTAACTTAGAAATTCTTTCCAAAACATAGAAACTTAGCTTCCTAGTACCCATTAATAGAAGCCTTTGAAACTAAGTTTCCTAGTGCCCATTGACAGAAGACTTACCCATTTTGTAGCTACTGCTGCATTTTTCTTTGGTGGCTCCTGAAGCTTGTCCTCTTTACGAGCTGTTGGCTCTGTCATTTCTTCAACCTCCACCGCTGCAATTGCTTTCTTCTTAATTTGAAAAAGAATTTTAGTTAGTATGAGTAAATTGTAGAAGTTGCTAAGCAAGGTTGATGACTATGTTTGCTCGATGGTTCTGCTTAATTTAGAAATGGTAAATTATACATTAGGTCTCCATGGTTTCATTCAATAACACTGAACCTCCTTGTGCTTCAAAAACACATACATGACCCTACGGTTGGGAACCAATGTTGAAGTTCAGCAATTGAGTACAAAAAAAAAAGACCGGGTTTTAAAATTTTTAATTGTTTTTCTTTGTGAAATTTTTATACAAATTTAAAAATATGTTTTATGCATCAAAAGGAAGAGAAGATAAAGCGATTGGTTTATATTAGGGAAAAATAAGAAACATAAAATGTATAATGCGATAAAAGTTATTTTCACACCTAATTTCGCTAAAAATGTTGATTTTGAACTTTAATCATTAACTTACGGTTCGAGTTTTGTCGGAAACCATAGGGATTACGTTTATAATATTAATGATATGGAGAGTTAACGTTTTACTGGTTCAAACCACTGGCAGGTAGTCTATAGTTTCTCTATTTAGAAACAATATAAGAAACAAAGCTGCTATCCAAAAGCCGATGTGCAAAATGATGTGTGACAGCTAAACCACCGAAAAACCTTTTTGTATTTTGTCAGGAGAGAAAAATTGATATAGTAATAAATGAATTAGGAAAATGCAACAATGATGACGAATGTGAAGAGAATTTAATATATTAAAACCCAGTTTTATTGCATATCCACACTATTGTTCGGGTGGCATTACTAATGGAAAAACATCAAAACTAGGCAATCCATGTGCATTCCTCACATTCAGGCAGCTGACTTAGAAATTCTTCCAAAACATAGAAACTTAGCTTCCTAGTACCCAAATAGAAGCCTTTGAAACTAAGTTTCCTAGTACCCATTGATAGAAGATTTACCCTTTTTGCAGCTGTTGCTGCATTTTGCTTTGGTGGTTCCACAGCTTTGACATCTTTTTGGACAATGTTTGGCTGTTTGCACTTTGATAGCAAGCCAAAAATAGAAGTGGAAGGTAAACACAACTAATTAAGCATATTGAGTACTAGAAATTCTTCTCAAAACCTAGAAACTTCGCTGTCTAGTATCCATTAATAGAGACCTTAGAAACATAGTTTCCCAATACGAGTACCCATTAATAGAGACCTTACCGATTTCTCGGCTGCTGCTGCTGCATTTTTCTCTTTTGGTTTCATAGTTTTGATATTTTCTAAACAATGTTTGGCTCGTTGAACTTTGATAGAAAAAAGAGAAAAGGGTAAACTAGATAATTAAGGATATTAAGTAATGAATTCTACATAAAAATATATGACATTAGTCATCACTTTCTGGTCCATATAATATTAAAACAATAACTGCAACTTCAGTGATTAATATAAATCGAAGGCGAAATTGATGTTTTCAATGACACTGGTGCCAGATTTCGAAAGTTACTGTTCCGCAGGTGCCCATTCGTTCATTGATAAGAGTGGCTTTAGTCCATTTACTTACTCATATCATATGTCTAAAAATGAAATGGCTGTAGATGACACCATAACAATGCAAACGTAGTACTATGCTTTTTTCACTTTAAAACCAAGGGTGTCTCTAAGATCCATCTAAAAAGATAACAACCACTTGGCTATCAGAAAATATGCATATACTATTTTGTTGAATCTAGGAGCTGCAACATTAAAATCATTACCTGGATTGTTGTCGCCACTTCTTTCTCCTTTGCATTTGCAGCTGACTTGATCTCTTCCACAATGAGATTGGAATTTGAATCCTTTGACTGAAGTGAAAGGAAAAAGTAAACAGCACAGAGAGAGTTGTCATCCATATCCCATGTGCATCCAAAACAAAAAATCTCATGACTGTTGTTTAAAATTCAAGTGCAAACCAAAAAATCAATATGATTATACATATAAGTGCATGTAAGAATAAATGAACCTATGATTAACAATGACATGCATAGGCTGACCAATTATGTATGATATATATAAATGACAAGATATTATCACGAGTATCAACAGAAAAAGCTCTGAACATTTTTTCTTCAAAAAACATAGTTTGCATTGATTTGAAGCATTCATCAAAGAAACTTGTCAACAAGGCAGGCCATTAAACTTCTAGTTAACCCACTTCCTATTTTAACTGATATAAAGGCATGCCTGATACCTTACTAGCAATGAGTTTCTCCAATGCTTCAGTACCATTCTTTTGAACATATGTCTCAGCCACAGCTAGGAAGGTTTCGGGTTTGAGAGAGACGTCATCCTTAGGCTTATTTAACCACTTGACAACAGATTGTCGGTCCACAGATAAGCACAGATGAACAAGGCTTTTGTAGACATAGTATGCACCATCAAATCGAGGTATTACTAGCCAGCAGACAAATAGTAGTTTTATCTGAGGCAAGAATGGTAGCCTGACATGAATAGAGAGAAAACGAAGAGTAATTTAGACTCATTGATGAGAAAAACTCCAAGCAGTTCGAAAATAGAAACTACTGAGTATTGATTCACATTTATATCTTTATACTCATCTAAATGAAGTAGCCCGAGCGAAGCTACATGCAACTAAGTGGGGGCAGTTTCCCCTACTCAACCTTTCTTTTTTTGCAAAAGAATTCCTGTATATGTTTTATTATATATGCCAATCTTGCCCCCATCAAAAAAGTTTTCATGCACACTAATCCACTTAATCATTCTTCATATTTGGGTTCAATCTCTAAATGCTCAATTAGGTAATCTTAACTAATATTTAATCAGTAGAATCAGCCCAATATGTTCTCAAGAAATATTCCAAAAGCTATTTGTTGTCTCCCTCCCAATGTCTCACTCACCCACTCTCACAGTATTTACTTTGGATACATTAAGAATGATGATACTATTTGGAAGTGATTTGTTTATCTAATTAGCTAACCTAATCTGTTGTTACCCTTTGATTAGAAATGGATCCCAACTAAGGTTGAGATCAATCCAATAGCAACAATTGACTAGAACAGTAAACTAGTTATTTTATGACTATGAAAAAAAAGTGTTTTATGGCATTAATAATGAGGATATCATGTAATGTTTTTACAATATGAAAACTGATCTAGAGCAATTGTGGATGAACCGGATAAAAGTATTACTATTTAAATTTTATATCATTAAAATTTGCACCCTCTATCGCAGTTTTCTAACTCCACCCCTATGTGGTAGTATTTGTGTTCTAACTAGAACCTAAAGTAGAATAAAGGATAACAAGGCTCCAATTTCATTCGACTGCAAATATAATGAATTTAAGGGCCTCCATGGCACAAAATTAAAAATTTAGCGAGCATAATGCAACTTACAACAAAAGTTTGCATTTTTGGCAGAGTAAAGGTTATGCAGATGGACCAAGATGCTACAGTTCTAGAGTGGATGGAAAGCGTTTATAAGAAGGGTGCAAAAATGTTGTCTCGGGATGGATGTTTCTTTTTTTTCCCCTGGAAACAGAATTGGGTATCAAAGATGCGGCGTTTTATGCTGATGGTAATATCTTTTCGGGACGGGAGCAAATGCAACAATCTGAGATGAGGGGCAAAACTGTGATGGTTTGGTATATCCATAAAACCAGGACGTGTTAGGATGTATATGAAAGGTAATGCAGTTTAGCAGGAGCCCAGGAACACATGTAATTTGCAGAATAGGTGAAAGTATTACAACTTCATGAAATTGTTCGCGTAAGAAATGTCACGATCACTGCATAAAAATGCTGTGATTTGGGGAGGCCGGGGAATTTTAACTTCAATATGGACAGCCAAAATGCAGCTTCTGGAAGAGAGGGTGGGAGATGATATTGCTGTTTTTGAGTCATTAACACACGAAATCTGACTTTAACAGAGTGAAATTTAGGACAAAAAATTCTTAACATAACCCGCCAATCTAACACGAAATTCGGACAATGTTAACTAAGCATGGTTTGGTGTCTAATGGTTCTGGATCATAACAAGCCACCAGTCCCACTTATTACCTAGGTTGACACCATTTCGATTATACACTATATGAACACGACTACACACATTATAAACAGTTGGATTTGTGTTCAGCATTTTTTGACAAAATCTGATTTACATAATTCACAAATGCAACAATAGAGGATAGCAGATGAATGCTTAAAGATAGAGGATAGCAAAACTAATTACCATTCAATAACTCTCACGAGAGCAAGTTCAAAGAGAGAAATCAAAGAAAAAAGAACCCAATATGTGACCAATTTCCGCATGTGACAGTTTGAATTGGTCTCAATTGCCCGAACCGAAGCACAACTGCCAAGAACAAATACTTAGTACCACCACCAACAACAATGTTAAATCAATTAAACAGTCAAAATTATACCCAAAAAAAAAAATTTAAAACCCAAGAACTAAATTTATGAACAGTATAAGGAGGTAGACAATTTTACTCTTCCCTCATCAAATGTGGGGGGAGAGAGAGAGTAATTAGCACCATTACAAACATTAAAGTGAAATTAATTACACAATCAACAATAAACCAAACAAGTAAAACTCAAAAATTATATTCATCAACAGTATAAGCAGGTAGAGAACTTTACTCTTCCCTCATCCAGTAGAGAGAGAGAGAGAGACTTACAGAGGGTAGACCAAAGCAACTAGAGGCCTGCAAGTAAAAGAAAGCTGTGTAAGAATATGTAAACGTATACACACGTACATAATGCACAACTACAAGTATACTATCAGCTTAGAACCAATTAACTTCATAATATCACAAAATACACATATGTGAAGTGAATTCCTCTTTGGATCTGATATGCAGTGAAAGTTGGATCGCTCAACACTGAAGAGAAATAGAAAATATGAACCTAAAAAGCACATTTTCTTTTCTTTTTGAAGAATAACATCAAATTATTTTCCAAAATTTTCTTGGTGGTAAGAAAATAGAAGAATCACCAGGCAAGAACATCGAAGCATTTCAATGAAAATTGGAGTAAACCCACAAAACCCATTTTGGATTTGACCAGTTTGTAGCTTTTTTTTGGCCTTAACTCCCAGGTTTTTGTTGAGGATGTCTGATCGGAAAGCTTTTGAAAGAAAAAGAATTGGGTCAGACAGTTCAAACAACGCACGAGTGGTATTTATAGTTATTACAAACAACCATAATGGGAGGTCAATGGACGGACTCGGACTGGTCTTTTACACGTCCCTTCCTCTGTAAGCAAAATAGTTCCATCCCAATAACGTTTACATTATGGTCGGTACACACACACACACGGTATCTACGTGCTTACATGCACGGAATCAAAATTTTATTTTTGAAAGGGCCAAATTTTACAGACCAGAACTCAGATAAACAAAAATTCGAATTGCACCCGAAAATAATAACTCCAATATGGGGTCAAGTCTTTACACTACGGCTGGTAGACTCAGTACTGTAATTAAGAATTAAAATTTATTTTGGTGTATTGATATGGTCACCTAGAAAAAAAATATTTTGACATGTTTCGAAAATATTTCGATATATTGCAAAAATGAAATAAAAAAAAATTTAAGAATTATTTTTCTAAAATATTGGTCGAAATATATCAAAATATTTTAAAATATCTTGAAATATTATAAAAAATAATTGTACAAATACATTGAAATATTACAAAACATCTCTAAAAATTATGAAGTATTTCAAAATATTAAAATTTCGATTTCATCACCGATTCATTTTAATCGCCTTAAAAACAGAAACGTTTTAGGCGTTGAATGAAATTTTCATCCTTAATTGTATTATACATACCTACAGATTATAAAAAAATGCTGGGGGGCATGGCCCCCTCAGGCCATACCAACACTCCGTAAATCTATGTATATTAGGGGCACTCCCTTTGATACATAATTTTTTCAATCTCTCATCAAAGTTCTATCACTTCTATCATCACCGTCACCGTCACCCACCACCCTCATCGCACCTCCACCTTTACCTTAATATGTTTGAAAATTTATTTTTTTTATTGTGCTAAATTAAAGAAGATAAAATAAAATAGTTTGCCCAAGTAGTTATGTCAATTATATAAAATAATTTAATTTGATTAGATCAATATATTGTTATTAAATAATTTAAAATTTAAAAAATTTAATACTTGATAAGGAAAATTTTCATAAACACCATCTCATAAATTGATTGTTATAGTATAAAATATAGATTTAGAAGAGAGATAGTATTAAAAAACTGGGTTTACATTTTTTTTATTTTTTGGCTGATTTTTTTTTTTTTTGGTTATTGCAATATACAACATAAAACAACCAACATGACTCTAGAGTCTGAATATCTAATCTTTAATTTTTAGTTAGGAGGTTAGTCTTTTGAACGAAATGTAGTTAAGAGGAATAACAAAATGTTGATATTGGAGACTATCAATGCAAGCATCTTTTCTATTTATCCATATAAATAGCAAGACTTGATTTATAAAAAAAAAAATTTAGAAATAGAAAGAAAATAATCCTTGTCATTTTCATATGCCAAATGTGTGACTTTAGATACCCATTCTTTAACTCCAATGATCTTAACGAGGTTTTGCAATTGTAGGATAGTTAAGGTAAACATTTGATTTCGGACCTTATAATAAAAAGGGTAATATTGAATTTATGATGGCATAGTACGATGACACTATAAAATTTTAATGAATTTATTGCCGAACATTGACACCAAGGATCTATATGCTTACACAAGCACAAACTTTAGGAAGACTTAAGTATAACTGACAAATCATAGAAGGTCTAAGTGTAATTTATCCATAAACAATTGACATTGGGCCTCAAAGAAGAAAAGATAGAATTGAAATTATATTTTCATATTATGATGACATCAAAAAATTCAAATGGGTATATTAACGAACACTGACCACAAGTGTCTAGGTGATACACGAGTACAAATTTTAAGTGGTTTGTATGCGAGATTTCAAATATCATGAGATCTCTGTAATTAAGTGACATATCTTAAGAGTTCGAATGTAATGTACCCTCAAAAATTAAAAAATATACAAACAGATAAAAAAAAATAAAAGAGAGACAATAAAAAAACATGGGAGAAAGTCAAGGAGGGTAAAAATTTTAAGTATAATGAAAGTTAACTGATAATTAATTGTATAATAAAAAGAGGGCACCGTAAATTTTCCTTCTCTTCATTAATAGTATAGATATTCATCGAAAAACAAATTAGTATAAATAGGTTTTTTAATAAGTTTCTCTTTCAAAAGGTTAAATTTTTTTGGAGGTGGTGTATGAAATTAGATTTATTGATTTTCCAAAATTTATGTGTTTTTCTATTGACACTACAAAAAATTGGACTTTTAACCGCGAAAATTATTGCAGCTAATTTTATAAAAATTGTCACTATATACTTTAGTGACAACTTTTTTATTGCCACTAGACCGCGACTGTAAATTTCAAATCAAATCACGTGAAAATAATATTATGATATTCATATCATTACATTGTACGTGTACAATGCCTGAATATTAAAAAAAATAAGAATACATAACAATTCATCATAAGGTCTCAAGTCTCAACTACATATATTCTTTTTGACAGATTATTGGATCTTTCGTATTTGATCTTCGGAGACAAACTTTCCAAAGCTGTTTTCAAAGCTTCCATTAGTTTGTATCTTACAAAAATTTACATGTCATTAAAATACTTGAGTTACAAAAATGAAATCAAGATAACAAGAAATAAAAAGAGTATAACATACTTTAAATGCCGAGTCATGAGGATTAGAATTGTTGGCCATTAATTTTCGCTTTCCCATCAACATGTATTTAAAGATGAAAGCAAACTAATGTTGAATAACTGATCACTCAGAAAAATCGTACTTGAATCATGTCAGGCAGTATTATAAGAAATAATGGTGCTCCAGGTGATCTGCAGTGTCCTCACTGTTGCAAGAAGATCAAGAAACACACTCCATTTTAATCAAAACACTGATTCAGAAGCTCATGATAATGAATGTCAAATGGTTAAGTCCAAATCAACCAAAAAAAAAAGAAACAAAGAAGAACATTACATACATAACACATCTAATTGATAGCTACTAACCCCTTAAATCTTTAATTACCTCTCAAACAGCTTAAATCTTCCATCGACGATTGCCGTCATTTTTTTCATGGGTAAAGGAAATATACAACACATTCGTCCTTTGTTCATCAAATTTACACGTTATGTTTTAAGCAAAGAAATTATTGATAGAACAGAATGTAAACTGAGAATGATTTTGTTCAGAACTGAGAAGAGACTTCTACTGGGGTAGGAATGCCAATCTCAGATAAAACTGACCTTGAAGGTACACATCCATTAGTCTTTTTGTCTAGTTGCCATGAGTTCTGTCCTAAAATTCCATATGCCCCTTCTAATCTAGATTTGGATTGTTTAGACTTGGTGGGAGAGTTCGGATTTAATCAAAATATCATGGACATGCAGAGCTCCCTGGAAGTGAAACCATAATTCAGCAAAAGACCACACCAAGAGCTCAAGAACCAACAACAGTTGACCCATATGCAACATTAAGCAAGTTCCAATTGTCCACCAATTGCAGCTTACATACAGAAGTCATGACTAGAAAAACCCCACTTTCGAGCAACAATCACCCTACCCAAAATAAAATGATATCCAAATCTGAAATTACCTCCAAAAAAAAAGAAAAGCAAGTTTGAGGAAAAGCAAGAAAATACAATTAATTGGGATAATTTAAGAAAAATTTATTCCAAGGGTAGAACAAGAAAACCTATGGCTAAAAACAACAATTATATAGATTGGGAGAGAGTTAGGGATGCATCAGTTGAAGTGGTTTCCAAGACTATAAGTGAACCAGTAAGTATCATATGTCTAATGATCAATTACACTGAGGTTTTCAATCAAAAAAAAAAGAAGATTTCCTGATGTTGTTGCCCTGTAGGTACCCATTGGTGGATACTATCCAGAAATACTTGTGGCCACGCCTCTGCACCCTTCACAAATACCAAAAACATGTCAATTTAAGGTACTATATACAGACTAAACAATACTAGTAGAAATAGCATACACCAGAAATTTAGGACATTGAGGTAGATTCAAACGAAATTAATAAGAAAACCAGCAGAAGCAATAGAATCAGTAAACGAATGAAAAATTGAAAAAACATGATTGGAAGGAAAATGAGATTTACTTGCAGAAGATGAGAACTGTTCGAGATGGTTCGGACAGACGATTAACATATACTTTGAGCCTCACACTCTTTCTCTCTGTCTCTTTCTCTTGCGAACACACACACACAGACCAAATACTATACAAGTGATCGCTGTCTATATGATTTTATCTGATTTCAGAGCTTCAAGAAGAAGAATAGGATGATTCAAGGTAACCGACTATAATCAAGCCTTCGCCATTAACTCAGATACATAGTTTTCAATCATGCTATTTGCAAAGTCGACATGGATTCAATAGCAAATAAGTAATTAAGTTCCTGAATAATGGCCCAATAGTTCAATCAGATGAGGAAAGAAAAGAATCAAAAAAAGAAACAACTGACCAAACACCACAATAATTTCCACTAACTCACCACACATAAAATTCCTAGTTAGAAAAAACCCTAAACTATTACAAGATCAAGCTAAATAATTTTTCAATTCAAATTCATATAAATATGAAGCTACCACTCGCCAAATTCATGGCATAATATGAAGATGCAAGCTACAAATTTCTCTCAAAAGCAACTTACTGGCCACAATCTTAAACTTACAGATCTGTTGGAGAGAGGTCTAGTGTTAAAACTTACAGATCTACGCCCTAGCGGGTGGATTAGCACAGATCGTCCATGGCAGAGAGGTTAATGGTAGAGAAGCTGAAGAAGATGATCTTTGAAGAAGATTTGGGCAGAATTGACCATTGTGTGAGGGATAACTGCTGTAGAAGAATTAGGAAGCGGTCAATGCCTCAGGATAAATGTTGATAAATAACTGCAGATCTGCCCTGGCAGATGGATTAG